GTTTTATTGCAATTGAAAACTCAGCTGAGTCATAAAAACTATGCTGGGTTTGATGCTTTCATCCATGAGTCTGATGTTTATTTCTAGATAAATATTTCAAAAGATCCAATCTGCATTGATCCATTCTTTTCATCGACTTTCTCTTTCGTTAATAACTCAGCTACAAAACTTTTCCCTGTTGTATTTGACGTTTTGGACGCTAGACAAGAATCCCCTTTATCAAACTATGTTCTAAAATTACCGCGAAATCTGCTTGCATAGCCCTGGCTATCGAAAGAGAAAGTCGATGAACAGAATCGATCAAAGCAGATAGGCAAAGCAGATAGGACCATTTGAAATGTTCATCGAGATTTCAAGCTGATCATTGCATTAGGTCCTAAGTAACATTGACAGATTCTCTTCGTCGACATTCTCTTTGTAACCTCACGGCAATGTAAAGACATTCCCAGGTATTTTCAGCACACAGATCGATAAAACAAGCTTTTATCAAACATCTAATACGACACACACAACAAGAAACGGTTATGTGCTCAAGTTATTAACGAAAGAAAAAGTCGACGAAGAGAATCGATAAATGTTACTTAGGACCTAATGCAATGTTCAGCTTGATTTGTTCTTAAAATTAAGATTGTTTTATGAAAAGTATGGACTATGCTTGACGATATATTGAAGAACAGTAACTACATTTGATGCTTCTGCGTGATTGGCTCTCCCATTTGACAGTTCACAGATGACTAGCACATTGAGTGAGTCCGCAGTACGTAGGGGTATACCAGAAATTACCCCACTGCAGGTCTATCACATGAGTGTCTGTAATCTAAACTCCGTAAAAGGGAAAGGGCTAATCAGTAGGGTTGGTTTTCTCCTTACAGCGAGATCAATTTGGCGTCACTCGACTAACAGAATATGAAGCTCCAAAAGTGAGCTGAAGAGAACGCCACAACGATACTGGTTTTATTGATTCGCAGATGATTTCGATCTATTTTGGATAAATCGTGACATTCAATAGAATGAGACATTTTAGCATAGTCTACATTTCAACGGAATCGACAGTAGCAGTATCGCAGATTAACTAATAACAACATAATACGGTTAGAATCTATTCTCCCCCTTATTCTGCGAGTCACGTGACTCTCTGTCACCGGTGAGGTGACAATTGTCACCTCGCCGGTGAGAGAGAGTCACGTGACTCGCAGAATAGGGGGTCTGTCAATCGAGTGAGGCAAATTGGATTCTGTTTTTTTTTTATAAATGGTCTAAGTCGTAACCGTAAACCGTAATTTTTTACACCAATTGCATGTGTATCAAAGTTATTTAATGACTGCAAATAACTCCCTTCATATTATCCGCGCCAGTGAAAATCTCCAACAAAATTTTAAGCTGATTCTTAGCTGATCAAGCCTTTTATGTCTGAATAAGCTTCTAATCAGCTTTCAATACTTGTTAGGTAGCCACTAACAGCGTAAATTTAAAATAAGATAATGTGCACAACAAAAAGTCGTTTACATGCGTACGCTTTTGTTCTCAAAGTAAGAAGGTTCACTAACATATGTAAAGAAGTTTTTATGGCATTTTTTATATTCGAAATGTCATTCAATCCTGGTTTAAATCGAAGTTACAAATATGTTTTTAGAATATTCACGCAATTTAAAACAGGATTGATTCTGGCATAAAGGACAAATTTGACAAATCGATGCCAACATTTCATTAAGGTGGAAGGGTGAAACTGCGGATGTAAACAATGACTTTAACCGCCGATTTATTGCAAACAAAAGCTAACTCCTGCAAACTAGTCATACTCACTGGTAGGGTAAACATTCCCGTACTTGATGGTGTTGTGTTGTTGTTGTTTTGCGAGCCAACATTTTTAGAATCCGTAGAATTTCTTTGGCACTTTTCTGTTTACTTTCCTAGTCACAACTTTCTTAAACAGAGCATAGAGGAAGTAGATGAATTCTCATGTGATTTGAGGCAGCGCATAATGGATTTTGATCCTGAAAAAAAAAATTAAAACTGGCTACTTCCCTAGGAGTTTCCGGAAATTGACTGGATGTAGCCAGCGTGATCCTGGCTGTTCCTATTAACTGCCATTGAACTGGTTGTTGAATTTTAATGTGATTCAATGGTTTGTGAACCATATTCAGAAACTGGCCACTTCTCCAGGGGATCGAATCATGGCCTGGTGTTGCCAATCTGAACTCGTTTTTGAATTCTAATGTGAATTGAGTTATCACATGATAAGTTTATTCGTTGGAGGTCGCAATTAGCCTCATGCCTCATATTTCCGGAACCGGTGTGCTCTATTTGGTCATAATACCTTTCATTTAGCGGCTGTTGATTGGTTTATGACACTCGGCTGTGCGGGCTCTTGCGCATACAAATGGTTCTTATAATATCTCCCTTATCGGCTCCCACCTATTCTGCACCTCTTATATCGCCTTACAATGCCAGACTAGAGTCAAGCTCAACAGGGTCTTCTTTCCCCGCTAGTGTTTCCAAGCCAGTTCCCTTGGCTGTGGTTTCGCTAGATAGTAGATAGGGACAGAGGGAATCTCGTTAATCCATTCATGCGCGTCACTAATTAGATGACGAGGCATTCGGCTACCTTAAGAGAGTCATAGTTACTCCCATGCATTTCTTCACGTTTACATTCAGAGCACTGGGCAGAAATCACAGATGGCAGATAGCAAAAAGGAAAAACAATATCGTTCATGTTTGTCTTGGTTTTTGTAAAGATTTAGATCTCAAAAGCTTCTCCCGGTGCAAAGAACGCGCAATTATGCGTCAACATAGCTGTTCGAGCGCAGTTCCAGGAGCAAATCAGTGGCAACATTTCATTGGGGTGAAACTACTTTTGTGAACAATGACTTCAACCGCCGATTTCTCGCAAATAAAAGCTCACTCCTGCCAATTAACGATTCCAGCTGGTAGAGGAAACATTCCTTTAGCTGATATGGTGTCGTTACATTTGCATGTGTGAGCTTTGATCCGCGAGAAATCGACGACTAAAGCCATTGTTTACAAAAGCAATTTCGCAACAATATTGGCACTGAAATGACGGTTTATTTCGGTTTTAAACAAGGAGAGTAGAGTTCAGTAGAATCAGCGCATGTTTCTTGATCGGAGACAATTTTGAACGCTTTTGGTTCCGAGGTTAGCTGGGAAACCATACTCAACAGTGCTGCAAATGACAGCCAGTGCCGTAACTACAGTAGAAGAGAATTCTTGGGATTACTCACTCCCTTGGTTCACCGTACACGGCCAGCCAGCTCGACTCAAGAGGTTATGAGATCAACAAGCATGCATTTGAAAAAGCGCCCGACCTCAACTGTATTTATAGCCATTCTTTAGAAACCGCTCCATTTCAATCCAGCAATAACATATCTACGACGAACTTCCTAATTAATGTGACTATCACTCAGCTAATAGTAAATATCTCCTTTAAACTCCTCGTGGCAGAAACCGTTCTTAACTGGATGCGTCGTAACGATAAATTTTGTACACATCTGTTCACTCTCTACACAAATAGAATACACCTTGTAGTTGTTGTTGGAATGTTAAATTGACGGTCACGATGCCCTAATCTCCCGCGTTTCTCTTCCATTTTTTTGTTCTCATAAGATTTGTTTGTTACCCAGTTAATTTCATAATCGTTTGCATCTTTTTACACCATTTTTTTTTTTCAGTTTCACTACACAGCTCGTACGTTTTAATATTTATCGAAAAATATTCCACAATAACATCCACCGCAGCAAAAAAAAAAGGAAAAAAATAGAAAATCTCTTCATCTCACTGTTTTAGTTCGGTTTGACTTCTGTGTAAGCAGCTATATCTCTATGTATGTTTGTGTGTTTATGTTTTGAATTGATGTCTTTTCAGTTTGTTCTTTCTGCTGTATGTGTGATAAAATCCATCTCTGGTTGTAAATGTAGGTTAGGGTTGACTTTTTTGGTTTATATTTTGTTTTGTTTTTGTTGTTGTTTTGAAAGGCACACTTGTTTTTCTTTTTGTTTCTTTTGTTTCCTTTTTCATAGTTGTTGTTTTGTTACATTTGGTTCCTAATATGCACGCTCTGTTTTACCTCTTGCTACGCTGTATATAAGTTTTGATCTGATTTTATCTGGTTTTTAAAAATTGGAATTGGCCGAAACGTTATACTTGTTGTTTATCTCTGATCTACAGATGTATAAAAAATAGCACAAAAATATCTCCTCTCTCTCTTTCTAACTTTCTATTTAATTTTGTTTTCTCTCTCTCTCTCTCTTTCTGTTTCCTAGTCTATTGATTTAGATTAAACCGTTGCACTTGTTTTTTTTAGCGAATTTGATTGGCTGTTTTTCTTTCTCTCTTGAGAATGTGTAATTTTCTGTTTTGGATAATTTGATTTCATCTCATTAAGTTTCATCATAAATGGCCTTTCAAAGAGACAGTCGCTCACTCACTCGTCCTCGCGCATTCTTCCATATATTAGATAGATTGGTACACAACACACACGACGACCTCGCTAAAAGTAATAGTTCTTTTTGTTTCAGTCTATGGATAGAAATATACACATTACCATGTCCGTTAAGCGACAATTCTTAAAACACAAAGTTTATAATATTACATTATGTAGGTAGGCGGTGAGAGAATGAGATTCTTCTACGTATCTCTTCCTGCGGAGAAAGGGGAGGAGCGATAGCTTCGGGGGAGATGGAAGGTTTCAATGAACATTACACACACCATAAACGGGATAGACACGGTTATTGGAGGAGTTTGCGGAAAATTGGGAAAAAGCGATTCGTTACTACTACACATTGAGTTATGGGATTAGTATTGGTATCAGCATAATGATAGTTTTTAGTTATGGTTCTGGTTAGCATTGCGTTTTTTTTTTGGAAAAGGAACAGTTCAGAAAGTGGTTCGAACCTCGGGCGAAACGCAGTGTTCGCCAAAAGATGGCACCACTTTTTTTTATTCTCAGAGTAGTAAATTAAAAATGGTTTTCGTTACCATTTTCCTTTTTGCTGAGAATTGACTCGCTTCTCTCAGGACGTCATAAAATACGTTCTCCAAGCACTTTCGAAAAGTGAAATAGTTTCAGTACTAAAATGTACCGAATAAAAACCATTCTTTTTTGTGTTTTAATTTTTTTCCTTTTTTGTATATATAATATTTCTGTACGTGTATATGTAGATGCGTGTATATATGTTACATGTATATAGTTTCTCCATATTTCTTTTTTTTTCAATAATTTATTACAACTTTTAGCAAAAATAGTTTTCTTCTTGTTTGTCTTCCTTATCTGCGGAAAATAGTGTAAACCTTGGGTTTTTTGTTAATTTTTTGTAGTCTGGACCCTTCTCCAAAATGTCTCTTGTTCTCTTCACTTCAAATATATATATAGGCTCTTAAAAACGATGTACATATGTATTCAATGCGGAATCACACCAACACTAAAAAGCATACAGCTAGTTCGATTTTTTGTTCACGTTCTCCGATAAATATACACAAAATAGACGGTGTTCTCTCCTGTTGCATTCTATTTTCGTTTTCTTTGTTTTAGATTTTTTTTTTCTTTTCTGATAAGGCGATTTCCAAAAGCCACAAATCACACTTACATGAACATACTGGACACGGTGACGACGATCATGCAATGACTGAGTTTTGTTTCGTTTGTTTCGTAAGGTACGCTAGGCGTAGTTTCCTGTTGCAACTTAGATCGCATCGCCTCTGAGGTAACTGATGCAGTTACTGAACCGTTTCTACTTTTCCCCCCGAAGCCTTTCACATCACTGCTCGAGCATCGACGCCTGGTTCTAGTGCTTCGACAAGTTGAGAGGAACATCTGAAAAAAATAAACGGTATTGATTAGTATAGATTAGATTGGCATCCATGGTTGAACGTAATTTAGTCACATGGGAAGAATGCTTTTACACACTGGAAAAAATTGCATAGCTGATTAGCTCGGTATTTATTATTGCTAAGTTCACAGCGAAAGGTGTGGTTGATAGCTGAGATCTCAGCAAAATTTGTTAGCTGAATGTCGGCAATGTTTTTACTGAACCCAAGCAAATCGGATGTTAACTGCGTAATCTGATGCAATGTTTCCAAACGCCCTCTTGATTTTAGTGTCTTCCGCAAAACTTTTTTTTATTTTGAATGCTACTTTTGACGATTTCTATAATTTGATCAATCCCCTAGAAGTGAGATGAAAAATGTTGGTGATCATATTTCCGCTCATAGAATAAGAAGTATGTACAATACCGCCGAAAGCTTAACAGACGCTCTGGAAAAGATGAGGAAATATACAATACTAGATTCAATAAATAGTGCTGCAAATATGAAAAAAATACAAGCTGAGGTACCAATTTTATTTAGGAACTACGCCGCAAGAGGCGCTTCAATTTTATATTACTTATGAGGGGTGCTATATAAATCTCGTGATCATGGCCAGGCCATATGGAAAATTGCCGCCTTGAGCAAAGTTGTTCAGGCGACCTAGTCCTTTCGAAACTCTCTCACTACGCGGAGCTAGTGTGCACATGAACTTTCTGAATAGGCTGTATCTCAAAATCCTGACTTCAGCTAAAGTTTTTAGGTGACCAAGTCCTTTCGGATGGTGGTCATACTAGTGCTAAGTTTGTGAGTATTTTAGAAACAGTGGTGACGTGTATTGCGTGGTATTTTTAAATTTTCCTTAACCGATGGCCTCCACCTTGGGTTCCATCGGTATTTATCGGTATTTACTACCTAATTATTTAATTTTACATTATTGCCGTTTTTGAAAGTGAAAATTTTAACGATGGTGACGACTGGGATTTGAGGGGAATTGCTTTGTTCGACGGCTTTCTCAGTCTTAAAACAGTCTTTATTTTTTTATTTAATTTTTAAAATTATCGTTGTGCTTTTTTTTTCCTCTGTTCGGGACATAAAACCACTGCGACCAGTAATTTGATCTATTGTAGTATATCCCGTGTCCTTAGTTTAGTGCATGTCGTATTACTCCATCACTATTGAGAAATGATGAAGTATTCGGTTTTGATACAGTTGTCATTCTTGCCTTTATCGCAAGGAATCGATTCTAATTGAAAGGTCCCGCTATTTATACCCTTCGGAGTGTTGAAACACCCTCCAAAGGCGCGCCCCTTTGTCAGTCAAAATTGGATTCCTTAGCAAAAAAAAACAAGACATGACACCGATAATGACCATGCATCAGAACCCTAGTCTTAACCACTTCAAACTAGGAAACAACGAATAGAAGATTAGGAATCACATAGGTGAAGACTAACTAACTCATTTTTTCCTTGTTTCAAGATCATCCTCGGTCCACGCAACCCGAGGACTTATCACTATCAACAAGGCATAAAAAGTAACAATGACTAAGATGTGTTCCTTTGATTACTGTAAAATCCTGTTCCCCTAGTTTGAAGTAGTCAAGACTAGGAATCGGTGGTAGATCTTACATCCCGTAACGTACCACGAAAAGGTGATCTACCCACGTTACGGGGCTATCGTTATCCTTAAGTGGTGATCAAAATTGTGACCAAGTAGTGTTTTTTTGTTAGACCAAAATATGGAAAATCAGCCACAACAACGACTTAACTATTGACAATAACGACAAACAATATTTTCCATTGCAAAAAAGCCACAACCTATGGCCAAAATGTCGGGCAGATTACATCGTAGTCGTTGCAGTGTTTTAAGACTGAGAAAGCCGTTAATCAAAGCAAAATTTTAGCGTTTTGAACTATGATCGGAAAATTCCGGAAGAAAACTCCGGGGAATGTTTGAATTAGCTTCTGAATGGAGCTGAAAAAAACATCCAGAGAAAGACGAAACAAGCTCTCCTGGATGAAGTTCGAGAAAAGCTGGAAATTTGTGGCGAAAATTTACATAAACTATCGGAAAAAAATCGGATGTCACTTCCAAAGGAAGCCAGAAAAGTTTCGGAAACCGGAAGTAAATTTCCAGAAGTAGCCATTTCCAGGGAAAGCCAGAAGAAGCTCGGAAAAAACCTTCCAATAGAAGTCGAACAAAAAACCTTTGGCTTATGGTCAAACTTCCAGAAGAAGACGAAAGAAATTTCTGGGAGAATTAATTGAACTTCCTGGAGAAGACGATAGAAACTTCCTGGAGACGCTGGCAGAAACTTCCTAAGGAACCAATCTGGAAGAACCAAGCGCCAGAGCGCTTACGGAACAGTCGAAAGAAACAAGGACATAAATCCGAATGAAAGAGATGCCTGGGGGATGTTCTAATGATCCAAAAAATTTTCCTGATATTCAAAAAGCATCCCTGAAGACTCCGAAATTTTCCTGAAGTTTTCGGAACATTCCTAAAATGCAGGAATGAAATATTCCATAATTCCTCGAAATTCCTTGAAAGTTCTTGTAATTTTCCTGAAATTAGGGGCTGTTTTGGATTTTTCTGGTCATCTTCGAAGCGCTTGGAACTTCCCTCATTATAATAAGAGCACCGGAATATCTCTAATTATCTTAGAAGGTCTCTGGACTTTCTTCTAGATTACAAAATCTCATAAGTGCTCTCAAAATTTTCTTAAATTTATTGTAACATGAGCATTGTAGTTCTCTGATCCTCCCGATTTTTTTTTAATTTTTAAAAGATATCAACACTGCCATTAAAAAGCATCAAATGTTCTCACAATGATCTTATGTTCATGTAACTTCCCTTACGTTTCCTAAATTTGCATGGAAATTGCTGAAGTTTTCGGAAATTGCCTGATTTCATTGAAATTAATTGATCTGTCCTGATGTTCTCTGCGCTTCACTAAAGTTCCTGAAAACCATTAAATTTCCCTGACGTTCTTTGGACTTTTCTGAAATTTCCGGTCTTTCGAATTTCAACAGAAGTTAATGAAATTGTCTTTAATTAATCGAAACTTACGCAAAAGTCTGGACTTTTCTGAAGTTTCAGAACTAGTTTAATGTGCCTGCAGCTAGTGTGATCCGCAATAAAAATCTGATAGCATCCTTGAAGTTGCGGGAAAGTTGAAAAAACTGGCGGGAGAAGATGAAAGAATTATTCGAACGAAGACTGAAGAAGCTTTCAAAGTAAGGTAGATGAAAAATTCAGGGGAAGTTGGATGAAACTACAGGTAGTTTAAAAATGAATAAAAACTTCCGGAAGTTATATAATGTTTAAAACATATTTATCGATTCCCTAGGAATTACCGGAAAGAGCCATCGACTATTTCTCGATTGATGGGTAGCCAAAAACGGTGAGAAAACATTAGTCGAAAGAGTGCATAAGGCATCTTTAAAGGTGATTGTTTAGAATTTTGAAGGCTCAAAAAATATGAGGTATTCAAAAATATACAAGTCTCTCACAAAATTTTTCTCCGAAATTCGAGCGCGGGCAGGCAATAGAAATTTTGATTATTTAAAAAAACGGTATAAGTCGGTATAAAATCTTAAAAAACGGTATTCTGAGGAACCTTATCTGTAAATCGGTATCTAGTTTGGAAATCGGTATATCTGGCAACGCTGATTGATAGTTCTCGCGCAACACGAGAAAAGGACCTATCAGTGTTGATCGATTCTCTTCACCGATTTTCTCTTTCGAGAATAATCCGACTGCAAATGAATTTCCCATTGAGTATGTTGTTTCAGGCGCAAGCTAACATCATCTTCTGTCGACCTGTGCTGCGAGCTTAGGGAGAAATTCGTTTATGTTGCCGTGGTAAACCAAAGAGAAAGTCGCTGAAGATAATCGATCAACGAGGATAGGCCCTTTAGAATGTTACGCGAGAGTTGACTTCTACACGTTGTACCCTACGAGAAGAGGAAATAATACGGGCGCGAAAACGAACCACTTTTCTGTTAAACGCGAACCAGCTCGTGATTGGCTGGTTTGTAGTGCGTAAGATAGAGATAGAGATAAAAGAGTAAGAAGCCAGTTGTCTCATCTTCCTCTTAGGTTGTGCCCGTTCGGATAGTAAGGTGATCCAAGAGACGTTTCTCAGTGGAACTGACAGCAAGAAATCTAGAGTGTGTGAGTGATCTGGTGTTAATGGTGCTGAATGTAAACATAAACAAAGCAGAAATTCATGTGAGAATAAACTGCCAGTTCTACTGTGATCTGTCAAAAGTGCTTGGTAAACAAACATGTCTAAGAAGAAGAGGAGACAACTGGCTTCTTAGTCTAGTCTAGTCTTGCACAAGACTCAAGAAGAGACAACTGGCCTCTTACTCTTTAATCTCTATCTCTATATATATATCTATCTCTTTCTCTATCTATATCTATCTCTATCTTACACACTTCAAATTGGCCAATCATGAGCTGGTTCGCGCTTGACAGAAAAGTGGTTCGTTATCGCTCCCGTATTGTCTCCTCTTCCTCTTAGAAAAAAGTCAGCTGATCGCAACTGTCTCGTGGACAGAGTATAAACCCATATGCTTAAAATGATGGCCGCCATCTTGGGTTCCATTCGCAGCGGACATTTCAGGCGTAACATTTGATAACGGCACAAAAGCATTTGTGAACAAAAGTTGTAAGGCCCCTTACACGCGAACCGAAGAACGCCCACGTATACCAACAACATCATCGGAAATTTTCCCCTTTCCGATAATTGTATTGGTTTCCAAATTCCACCAAGTGGTAGATGTTTGCTTCTTTTAAGAAGGTTACTAGTGCTGCCTTGGCCGAAGTATCATTCCCGAGCAGATCTGATGCTGGAAGTTAGGCAGAGTGACTCCCGAAGATTTTGGAACTCGGGCAGTTGCACAGGATGTGTTCGACGGTGTAGGGTACCCCACAGATGATGCAGCTTCTGCGGAACGGCAGACCACCATAGTTATAGTAGAGTTTGGTGTGCCCAGTCCGAAGCAGCGAAATCACGCATTGATCCCTCAGGTTGTCTAGTTCGCTCCATGGTTCAGTTGACCCTTTGACTTTGCGGATGAAAGCAGTTCTGTTGCGGAACCACTTGGCCTCCCATGCCGCTCGAATGGTCCGCATGATCCACCGTCTGACGTCCTGTAGGGGTACCTTGTCGGTGAGTCTGGGACCCGATGTCCCGGCTCCAGCAAAGTGATCAGCAGACTCGTTACCTGGCACTCAGCAGTGTCCGGGAATCCATGTGTACGCGGTGTCCGGTGAGGAGGCGTGGAACTGCTCTGTGGAGACTTTTAAGGTAATTCCAAGGAAAATTCAAAGACAATTGAATTTTTGATGAACAAATTCAATGGAATTGCGTGAAGTATTTTAAGTATATTCTGGTGATATTTTTTAGAGAGTTCAGAGAAGCGTTCCAAATGAATTTCTAGAATAATTCCATGAGAGATTCGGGAGAATACAAAGCGAATGCTGAGGAGAATTCCAAGTGGATTTTCATGAGAAATCTATGTTGAATATGGAATGTACAGTGCTGTTCGATATGATAGCAGCGCATGCCGATTTACATACAAAATTGACAATTTTGACATGTTGTAGCTTTGTTCTCTTAAGATCAATTGAACTGAAAGTTCGCCACAGAACTACAAATATGTTCAATTTTATGATTACAAAACATTAAATCAGCTCAACAGATTTGTGACTTTCCTTAAAGTCCTCTAAACTGCCCTGAATTTCTCTGTATGTTTATAAGAACATTACAAATTTACAGAGAATAATTGAATTGGCTTGAAGTTTCCATAATTTCCCTTAAGTTTTATAAACTTTATGAACGCTCACGGAACTTTGTCTTGAATCACTAATTTTCCCTGAATTTATCTGGACATCCCTAAGTTTGCTATGCTTTCCTGAAATTCGTTTGATTTGTTTATTGTTCCTGCAAAATTTATATATTCATAATTCCCTGACGCTTCTGAAGTTTTCAAATCAATCATAGAATTCTCGGAATATCACATAATTCCACCGCTCCTTGTAAGTCGCTGCAAATTTTCTTAAGTTGATGGGATTGTTCTGAAGTTATCTGATCGTCCTCGAAGTACTCGGAACTTGGCTGAATGTCATGAATCTATAAAAAAAATATTTGAATTGCTTAGAAATTCTCTGGAATTTCTTGAAAATTCCAGCGCTTGCCAAAATTTTAAGCATTTTATTTAATTAATGGACCTTCGTTCTTGTTATCTAATCATCTTAGCTAAATTTTCGTAATTTTTATAAGTTCTTGAAATTTTCATGATTTACCACCATTAAAATTGTTTTACATTTTCCGGATGTTCATATAACGCAATTACCATAAATTCTCTCTGAGCTATGCTGAAGTTTCCGGAAATTCCCTTTAAGGCTTGCTTGAAGATCCTTAAACTGGTCCAAAAGTCTGGACTAAAGTTACGGGAACTGCCCTTCCCAAGTAGCAATGATTGTTCTGAAGACCATGATTTCGACTTGTAGAATGCTTTAAAACCACAATAAAACATGCAATGTTGCTTGAGTTAAGAGCTCTAGACCTAAATTTTCTGAGGTACTTAGAACTTCTTAAAAGTTTCCACAATATTCCTAAAATTCTCTATATTTCTGAAATTCTCTTGGCACCGGTGAAGTTCTCTGAAGCTCTAGGAACTTCTTAAAAGTTCTAGCAGTTTTTTGGAAGTCAATAGAACCGCTTCCAATAAGGACCTCATATTTTCAGGATGTAAACTTCCCTTATATCCCCGAAGTTTGTTTATGAAGCTTCACTGAAATGCTCAACGTTTCCTTTCATTCCTCAGCACTTCTGTAAAGTTCCTACAATTGTTGTGAATTTAGTTGGACTTCACTGAATATCTCTAATCTTTCATAAAGTTGATTGAAGGCCAGAAATAAATCATTTAATGATTTTTTTCCTTAATTCTGGCCCTTCGAAAAATTTCAATATCTTGAACTTGGACAAGAAATACGAAACTTCAAGACATGGCACATTTTTAGATATTAGACTTACTAAAATTACGAAAGTGTTAAACTACAACATTTAATTGATTTGATTGTAAAGCTGTTTCTTTATAACTGATGGTCGAGTTTTAAAAACATATGCGTTAATTGCAGTTGTTGTTGTTTTACAAAAAAAAAGCATATTTTTAACATATTAAACCATAAAATAAACCTGGAAATCTCAGGGAATTTTGGAAAAAGAGAATAGAGAAAGACGATTAAACGTCAAAAAGTTTTTGTAAGGTCAAAAACTGATTTTCAGGAGATCGTTCATGGAAATAGACCAATGTGAAACTGTTGTGGTCTTAGAATTTAAATTACAAAAATACAAAATTTCTGTGTCCATTCTTGGAAAATGTCAATGTCTATCTATGAATTTCCTTAGAATCACCCCAAGATGTCTTCAGAGCTACTTTCAGGATTCTCCAGAATCATCTTATAATTCATTTTGAAATTGTTTTCAGTGTATTTTTCATAACAGCATTAGAAATTCTCTACATACCTCTTTAAGAATCCTATATTGGAAATTCTTTTAATTCACTCTATTATTATCTCAGAATTATCAATAATTCTCTCAATAATTCCTTCAAAATGTTGTACATAATTCTCGTCAATAATTACCCTTTGGAAATTAATCTATGAAATATTCCTTAGAATTTCCATTAAGGTCATCTCAGAATTGTCTTTGAAATCTAAACGGAACTATTTGGGAATTCCCTGATTTTTTTTCCAGGAAATCCATTGAAATTTAGCTTACCATTTTCAAAGGATCCTCTCAGAATTCGCTTTAATTTCTCCCCATTAATTTAGATTTTTCCTAAAATTCACGTTGAGATTCTTCTCAAAATTTTGCAACAATTCTTATTGGAATTTCCTTGCAATTTTCTTCTGAAATCCTTTGAAAACAAGGTGTGTTGATGTCACAACTAGAAATACTCAGAGGGAGAGATGGGCGGAGAAAACAAAATACAATTCGGCAGCAGGGAGTTGTCCCTAAATTATCTTGCAACCCTGAGAGCTAGCATTTCACATGACTTTTATTTTTGATTCGATTTACGTGCAAAATAATAATTGATTGCATCGCAATATTTTGCACATTTCTTGGTGCCATTAATTAACCAACTAAGACCAATTAATCAATAGAATTAGAATATTGCTTTTGATTCCAAAAACTAATTGCCTATACATATCTGCTAAATAGAAAATAGATCACTTTTTACGAGTTCCGTTTGATGGCGATAAGTTTTAGGGAAATGCAGAAACATTTACATGTTGTATGCACAAAATAATTAAATTTCGTTAAATTCGTTGCCAACAATGAGGCGCTCGGTGACTTAGTGGCGACCACTTTTGCTTACTGAGCACAGGGTGTCAACCCAGACAACCAGAATTCGTATAAAAATGTACAGATAGAAGCGTTAAATACTACAGAGTTAGTCCAAACCGCACATAAGAATGAATTTCATCGTATGATTTTAAGTTTTATCCTATATAATGCAAACTTTTGAGCTTTTTACTATGCAGGCATGTATAGTTTTTGCATCGCACAAGAATACAAATTAATATATTCGTACGACTTGTCAAACTGCACTGAACAATGTTTTTACATAGTTTCTAATAGGAAGGCACATAACCTAATAAACTCTAAGTGAGTAATCCTATAGATTTAATTGGAACACATTAGGCTAAAGTGACTTAGTGGTGCAATTTCCAATTATGGGATCACATTTCGATGGTTATCTGATTTTTTCATGAGTGTGGATTTGTTATTACAGATTAAATCGTATATGATAAGTGTTCCAGTTATGGCACTAGTGCTCTAGTTTTGTGCCCAAGGGTTCAAATCAAATTTGGTTTTATTTGCGTAGACCTACCACAAAATCTGTGTTCTAACCTTGCATCGAAATAAATTTGGTAAAGAATTTAAAAAAAATGAAAATCAAGATCGGACCAATTAGAGCACCACTAGAAGAGCCAAAAAACTGGCTCACTTCCACATGACCCTTATTTTTGTAAATCCTGATGAATGTGGGCGTCTTAGTGGAATACCTGTATAATGAGAGAGAGAAGGATTAGTAATTTCCATTTATTTCAACTACCTTATTTGCTTATCCTTCAGATACGCGTATTTCGGCTACAATGTGCAGACTTCTTCAGTGTCTTGTACTAATACTCGACAGTCGAGTATTAGTACAAGACACTGAAGAAGTCTGCACATTGTAGACGAAATACGCGTATCTGTCAAGGATAAGAAAATAAGGTAGTGGCATTAAATGGAAATTACTGATCCTTCTCTCTCTCATTATATCTTATTTTTGTAGTTATAAGCCATTTTTATAAATTATTTACAATTTGTTTGTAGACAAATAAGCTTATGCTATGAATACGGAGCTATAACATGTTGCAATAATTACCGACAGGAAAATTGTCGTCAAGAGAGTCTTATATAATATTGCGACCGTCCAGTCTGAACATAGCATTAGCATCACTATCGTCAGCCTTAAAAAACATGACACCTACCTGCTCCGAGGTCATCCTTGGCGGCTGACGCCATCGACGCCGCAGATGACACCGATGCGTCATGCTGCGGCACGCTCCACGGTCCTGTCGCCAGGCTATGGTGCGCCATTGGATGGTGCGGATGATGGGAGGAGGCTGCAAGTGCCGCTGCACTGTAGTTCAGCGCAACAGCGGCCGGCGATGGGGAAGAACTACTACCGTTGTTGTTGCTGTTGTTGGTGTTGCTGCTGCTGCTGCTGCTGATGCCGTTATTGTGACCAGTCATGGCTGCAGTAGCAGCAGCTGCGGAATGTATTCGATTGGAATCTCGTTGTTGTTGTGCGTCTCGGGAACTGCTGCTGCTGGAGTGACTACTAGGCGGAAGTTGGGGTGCGCTGGGTGGAGATACGGCCGCCGCAGCGGCAGCAGCTGCAGCTGCATGCGGCGATATACCTTGGTAGTGCATCCAGAGGGGATTTCGATACGCCGCGGCCACGGCTGCCTGGTTGTACATATGCTGATAGTACGATGTGAGCGGCGATGCCGGCAGGAAGGGAACAGCACTGGACTGCTGGGCAGCTAGTAACGATGCGGCTATCTGCGGTGGGTACATATAGAACGGATTCGGTACCGGATGGTGAGGAGTTGGAGATGCGATCACCGTACTCGGGCGTATCACTGGATTGGGCTGAGAAGTGGAGAGGGCGGGATGTGGTCCATCGACTACATCGGAAGCGGAGGACCGTTCGGCATAGTCCAGTTCTTTTTTGAAGTGAGCCGTACGAGCAATTTCCGAAGACGTCGATGAGGCATTGGAGTTGGAACGTTCACGTCTTGTGGCATCGACAGTGGTAGACGGAGAGGACGATGGTGACCCGAATTGTTGCCTTAGGGCAGCCGTTTTCTTTGGGACAGTCCGGATGCTAGGAGTGGTGGAACTAGATGAAGTGGGAGTTGTTGCTGGTACCCGGATGGGTTCTACATTGGGCGACGCCCGAGGTGACGATGAGGAATCTTTTCCATTGTTTCGAAGACTATTGCTCGGTGGGTAGCTCGCTTGGTGCGAAGGAGGTGGAGATCGGGCAAAGTTTAGCGGAGATTGCCGGGAGTAGTGTTGAGGAGAGTTTGCCGTAGCCGGATTGGCAGACGATGGAGGTGAACCACCGGAAGCCAGGTAGGCTGTTCGATACTTTGCATTTCCACTGTATGGCGAACTAGCAGAATCATTGGTATTGGGAGATGGCGAACATCGTGACACACTGGAATAGCTGCTTGGGGAAGATACTGTCGGGTGGATACTGTACGGGTGCTGTCGGTAGCGTGTGAAACTATGGCCTTGATGTTCTGGACTGGGACTAAGATCCGGTGACCGAACCATGCCGTATCCAGCACCGTATTCGGTAGCAGAATTTGGGGAAGCTGCATTCTGTGAACCATAGCTGGGAGATTTCTTCTTACCGTAGTACCTCTGACTTAGATGCGCATCGGAGGGAGATTTCGGTGACGTTATGACGTCCTTTCCGAGATACTGATAGTGCGAAGAAGGTTGAAGTTGTTGGTACGGATGATGACTAGTTGTAGTGTTTGTTTCCTGCTTGGGTCTACTACTGTTGTTGCTGCTTTCGCTAGACGAATTGTGCCCTAGTAACGAGGTTATACTGTAGCTACTGATGGGCCGAGAAACCGGCGTCGTTGGGATCGATGGTGTGCGTGATTCTACAGCTGACGCCCCGTTGGTCAGCTTACCGTTGCTATTACTACTGCTACCACTGGGATTGCTACTGCCAGTTCCATTGCTACTAACCGACGCAAGGGGCGTCGCAGTCGTCGCCGTGATCACAGTACTACTACTGCCAGGTTTCGAACGAGATCTTTTCATAGTACTGCTATCTTCAAGCGAGACCTTCTCCAGCTCTCTGAGTATTCTTTTCCGAGGTGATACGTGCTGCTGATGAGACGAACTTAGCATACTCCTCATGCCAGCAGGTGGCATCCGAGGTGCACTATTCGTACTATTTGCTACCCGTACAGTCAGCTGCTGTACTATCACCCCCAGTTCCTTGCTCCGTTTCAACATCCCTCTTCGTTTGCGAATTTTGAAATCTATCGTTCCATTTTCCACAACCCCTCCTCCCCCTCCGTTGGCCTGTTGCATCCCCTTTTCCTCATCCTCATCGCTGCCAGTCTCCGGTGATTTCCCATTGATCTCCATTGCATCGGCCTCCGTAGCATCCGGAGGCACGTCCTTATCCCTAATAATCTCATAGTCCAGTGCAACGTCGTTGGCGGCTGATTGCTCGTACGGTCGCCTCCGTTTCAATCGTAACCGCTTCCACACGTCCCGGGACAGCTTAAACCGAACACAGCTCGGCCGGTGGTAGTACAGTGACATCTCCTTGGAGATGTTCGACCTGGGGTTGGTCTGCTTCCAGCAGTGATCCCGCTGCCATGGGGAGGACTGTACCGAACTGTTATCGTCGGAAACTGAAAGTGGAAAGAAACGCAGTTTTAGGATATTCATTTGGGGGAAAACAAGGAAACTTACAGCTGAGCGAAGTGGAACTTTCATGCTTGTGGAAGTTGGCATTGGTGGAGCTAACCGTCGGTGGCCAAAAGGTTTTGCGAGGAACCGAGATCCAGCTGGTTTTTTCACCTTCGCGGGCACGTGCCAGTTCCAGGATAAATTTTCCATCTGAAAGAGAACAAACAAAGAAAAATGGCACGATTAGTTTTTTCTGTACATTTGGTTTCAAAATCAACGTTGGTGTACATGTTGCCTGGCTACGCTCAGTTGCGCATTTTTACCAAGCCAAGCGAGTCTTTCACCCATGACTCTTTTCTTTACGATGCCATGATGACTATATGGCTTGATTGTTCCCTGAACGCCACAGCAGATCGTATCGCATTTCAACTCCAATTGCATTTCTAATTTCGGTATTTCTTTGCTCAATTGTCTTAACCAACGACTGCGATTGCGATGCAAGCTATTAGATCATGAAAAATAAGATTGCACAATTGCCCCATGTGCCCATAGGTTATCAAATCAACGATAAAAATCAATACATAAGCACCATAGTCCAAGGAAAACGTAAAATTCTCACCGGAATCAAACTTTTCCCATCATCCACCTAGCGGTACCTATAACATCAACACACACAAAAAAAACTCAGTCAACGACTAACAACAAAACTATGTACAGCCAAACGACGATAAGGGTGCGGGTGGCAATGGTGGTGGTGGCACGTGTCACCGTTTTAATATGTTAATTCCGCCATAGTGTGTGCCTTCATGGGTCGTTTTCCCCCTGGCTCTTCGGTTTTCCTTCAACTGCGCATCGCTCGCTCCCCGGTGTGCATATGGTTTTACTATACCGACCTACCTAGCCATACACAACCTTTCGCCTGCGTCGGAGAGCATAACATAATACCCACAATTCAGTGATTTCCGCTCGAGTGCCCCCTTCTGGTTGGACCATTGAAAGAAAACAGAAATGAATGAAAACGAATATGTACGGACGCGGATGGATGATGGCGACGGCGACGACGACGTCGACGTCGTCGTCGTTACTTTGCGCATCGCAGCTGCTGGGGCAGAGAAGGGACACAACAGGAGGAATAGTTTTCCACTAGAGCGGGTTCCCGCTGCTGTTGGATGCCTGCCGCCGAAGAGAGACGGTGGTGAAAGGGGACGATTGTTCGTTGGAAGTTGTACAGTGAATATGGGGAACACAATAATGGGCTTCGTAGCTTACCTTTCGGTAGTGCCGCAAAGACACATGCCACGCTGGGTTTTGTTTTGTTTCATTTCCTATCGTAAATAGCCGCAAAACAATAGCCCAGAGGAAAAAAGCACAGTAAAACCAGCGCGTAATTGTGTTGTGCAGAGAGTAGTGAAGCACTACTCCATGGAGGAAAGTCGATCTGATGGTGATACGGAAGCATGAATGTTTTGCAGCAGACCCGAGTCAACCACTCGGAGGTACGTTTATGTTTACTGTTCAACTCATGGCTGCATTGGTGCACCATAAAAATTACCAGCCTATAGCTGTGAAGTTATCACCACTTAGTGTAATTAGGTCTAGTTTCATCGGTACACAAATTACGCATATCAGGACTCAAACTGATAGACATTTTTTAAGTTAAATTTTATGTTTAAAATGACAGTTTGATTACTGTAAGTTGATTATGGGACGAGATTAACAAATAAGTTTCTAGAATCGCACAAGACTACGTGGGCGTGCCTTGAATTCCTATAAATCATCGCGAGAAGTCATTGTTTACAAAAGCTGTTACGCCCTAATTCCAGCTCTATCTAGAAGTTTTTTGTTCCCTCTGTTCTGTAGATAAAACCACTACGATCAGTAATTTGGTCTATTTTAGTAGATCCGTAGTGCCCTTAGTTTAGTGCATGTCGTATTACCCCATCACTATTGAACAACGAATAGAAGATTATGAAGCACATTAAATGAAGACTAACTCATTTTTTCCTTGTTTCAAGATTATTCTCGGTCCAGGACTACTACTATTAACTGACAGAACCGAAACGGTACAAAGTGCTTGCCTTCTCGGCAACGGGACAGACGTGCTCTGCTGTATCACAGCATCGCCGCGCATTTTGCACCCTTGGGGTTCTGTCAGTTAACAAGGCATAAAAGGTAACAAGGGCTAAGATGTGTTCTTTCATTACTGAAAAATCATGTTTCTCTAGTTTGAAGTAGTCAGGACTAGAAATCGGTGGTAGATCTTAGATCCCGCAAGGCCCAAACGCAGTGTGGGCGGAATACTGCACAAAATTTCGAATATCTACATATATCTATGATCCTTTAGATATACAGCTATGTAGAATTGATTACTATGATTAAGTAAATTTTCAAAACATAAAGTCTTTGCCTTAGTGATGGTTTAATATAGTGGACGAACATGAGAACAATACAGAAAATCGTAATATATTCTGTGCACGCATACAATGCTCAATGAAAACTTAAATCGTATTATATTTCAAAATTTATGAGGAAAATGAATTCCAGTAAAATCTGTATAATCTGTATTTTAGCTAAAAATCTGTATATCTGTATATGTGACAACCCTGCTCATGAACATGCTACTCCAAGCAATACAAAATAGCAAAATTCTACATTCTCGTAGGATAGCTTATTCTCTAAACTTATTCGGCTCTTAAGCGTATAATGAGGAACTAGAACTACAAGTATTCAGAAACACCATCCTCTTCGCTTAACTCTTTACCATTCTTACATTACCACAAAGGGGGCTATTGTGCGCGATGTGTGAGGTGAGGTGACTCGCTGACACTAGTGAAATGACAATTGTCACCTCGGGTGAGGTGATTCTCCATTTGATCTGCACGGAGACTCACCTCATCCGAGGTGACAATTGTCACTTCACCATCACTTCACTGTCACCTCACCTGACACGCCGCGCAGAATAGGCCTAAAAGACGCTTCAAACCATTCAGAGGGTTAATTTTTGTTGGATCAAACAAAATACAGCGTTTACTTGGAGGATACATTTAGTGAGAATCAACGTTAAAGACGTAAATGGATTTTACCGACCCTCTGGATCCCAAGTCATCTCAGGGATGGTTCAACCCAGTAAGACTTGGATTAGTGATGATCATCTTGGCCCAGAATCACCGAAGTACCCTTTATTTAAATTCTTCTGCAATAAATTCAACCACAAGTTTGCAACTTCATTGAAGATTTGATTAATTATTTTTTTCAATTTTTTTATGCTATAACTTCATACAAAGTTACAACATTTTCCAAAATTCACACTGCATAATCATGACTGATTTTCTCAGAATTAGGTCGACCAAATTTTGAACTGAAACTGGTAGTAGAACCCTTATTCTATACCCATCCAGGAACGTTAGTGAAAATTTGATGGAAACAGTTAGAAAATATTTTATTCATTACAATAGCAATTTTCCAAAATATCTACGCAGTAATTTTAGTTCAACCGATGATAATTACAAAGGCTACTCGGAAACCAATTCTAGATAATTTGATGAAGAATTCCATTCAAAACTTTCAGCAGAATTCAGAAGAGAACTCCATGAAAATATAAGAACTCTGAGGCAGTGTTGGCAAAATCAGAAATCAATTGATATTTTTCCGCTCCCATGCGCTCGCAATATCACGCGTGATATTGGAACAAAATATCATGCTTGATATTGATTTTACAAGCTCCTTTGATATTGCGAGACTATTCACAACATGCAAAAATCAAGCTGAGAGTTGACTCGAAACAGAAAAGATTCCGTTGCACATCGTTTTCTTAGAAAGAGAAAGTATAGTTTGCTTTTTCTTTTTACTCTTCACCGATGGCAGACACGAAGTGACTGCTGCCAGCCGGTATGAAAGTTTCGGTTGCATTCGGGTGTAGAGCAAACATCATGAAACTCAATCTCACCACAGTTTGTTGAGATTTGCAGCTGGTGAGTTTTGTTAGCTTGATATTCCGAGCTGCGATATCAAAGTTTGCAAAATCAACCGCAGTTGTTTGCTTGTTGATTTTTGTCGACGAAAATGAAGCGTGATCTTGGGCGTTGGTGAGATTTGATTTTTTGATATTTTCACAACACTGCTCTGAGGTGAGCTGCATGGGAATTTCTATGGAGGTGAAGAATATTATGCAAAGAGAATCATGATTTTTTCTAGAGTTCTACAGACAATTCCTTCACTGTTATAAAGAAATTTTCAAGGTATTTTCAGAGATAACATCAATTTTATTTCAAAAGAATTCTGTAAATAACTCTATAAAGGTAAATTATATGGAAAGATATACATGAACTTGAAAGCAATCAAATATAATCCTGTCAAGCTCTGTAAAGCTTCTCTGATACTTTAATTACGGAAGGTTGGAATTTAGATTGTTATAAATAACTGAATAGTCTCAAATGTCCATGTCATTTTTTAACGTGATAATTAATATAAGAACCTTATTGTAACTAAAATCCACCACTTCATCAAGAAATAACTTTTGTTATAAATTTGAAATTTTTGTTTTAATTCTGGACATAAAAACAGTCATGCTCGTCGAAGTTTCATGGATGGAATGTAAATATTCATGATGTCGGACAGAACAACACAAAATTTGAATCTTGATAAATTTGCAAGGCTCATGGAATCTGATGAGAATTTATGAGTTCTAGGAGGAACTGTGAAAGTGAAATCTGCTTTTGAGGTAGTTCAGAGGAACTACCGATTCCAGGTTGTTACTGGCGGGTAACATAGTATTGTTTAAAATATTGATGTGGGGGTAGGGCCAATAAATTGTAGTGAAATAACGGCCGATTCAAAGTGGGGGGGCGATCGGTTTCGAAATGTGTGGATCTTGTGTAAGGGTTCTATTAGAAGCTAGGAGATAGGAGTGAAGGCTGCCTACGATCGGGGGCGAATGGAGAGAAACGCAACACCACGGTCGATGTGAAGAGGTAAGAGCAGGGGCCTGGCTGGCGGCCATGTTTTTGATGCTATCATCTGCTCTTGTCTTCCTGCTTATAATACGATTTTCCGTCCCTTTCCACCATGTATACGTCAGGCGGGCCGTATTTAAATAAGGCCCGTGATGTTGTCTACTGTCAAACGCATAGGATTGATATAGGGTTGCCAGGCCCCTGGGTAAGAGAGAGCCCGACGGTCAGTGGATTTAGGGAGTAAGTCGTAAGCCCTCG